TGTTTTTGGAAAACTCATGCACTCCTTGGCTGCCTGTAAATACTATATTAAATAAAGGGTGTGTGGTTTTTATAAGGTTATAACCTTAAACAATCCATTTAAGGTGCTGCTCCACTCCGAATTTTATAATAACATGTAATTTTGAAGTAAGAAATTTTTAGGATTATCTCAAAATCTTAACATGTAATTTTGATGTAAAATTTTTTTAGGATTATCTCAAAATCTATTTTCATGTCTAATTATAAAATTTTAAACTCCAAAGATGGCTAATATAAAACATATTGAAAAAATAGACAATGAGTAGCAAGATGCATTATTTTTTAGATTCAAAATTTTCTACTTTTTCATATTCATACATCTTGATGTCAAGATGATCAATGAGGGAGTCTATCAACATTAGAACAATATTGTCTGATGGATTTTTTGAGGCGTGTCTTTAGTTTTACATTTTAAAGTTTCCTTAAATAAATAACAAGAAAAATAAAGTAAGCGTGTCATGTAAAAAAGAAACGTAAGAGTATGATGTAAAAGTGATTGTCCATGCATTGACCAAGAAACTGACTCTCTAGAGTCTAGACCCCATTCAGTTTTGAGACGGTTTTGGGTAAAGAACACAACAAAAAACTTTCAAAAAATATATTTTAAATATCCTTTGTATTCTTATATGAGTAATGATCCTATGATACCCTCTCACACCTATGTGTGTAGGACCCCAAAGGATCACCATTAAATTTGTCACAGATTTCTAGAAAAGTTATCATACAGGTGTGGGACTTGACTTTTCTAGAGATCTGTGCCAAATTTAATGGTGATCCTTTGGGGTCCTACGCATATAGGTGTGGGAGGGTCTCATAGGATCATTACTCTTCTTATATATAGGACCTTTTTGGACAGATTTTCTTCATTCTAACTTTATTATTTCTCCTAGTTTTCTCTTTCATGGCTATTTTTTTCTCTTCTCTTTCTATTTGCAGTAATGTTTTAGGCATTCATCTTTCAATTGTTTCTCTTTCGACTTGAACTAGGATTCCTTCGTATTCTTTAGAGAAAAAAAAGAAGGATATGAATGTAAAACATAAATATTTGTACTATTTTCTCCTAATAACGATATTTACGAGATGAGAGTAAATTTCTCCAATTTTTTCTTTTTTCATACCTCCTTTCCCTCACCTATTACCAGAACTGGTTGGGCCACACCAAAAGGGGATGTGAAATGTCCATATGGGTGTGAGGACTACCTTTGGGAAAAGTCGTGGTGATAACACTCCCGGACCCTAGTCACCATGTTGGTTTCTATTCCCACTTACACAAGCCCACTAACACATTTGAAAAACTAACTCCTAAACCATTTGAAAAAACAGGTAGGGACCTGTCCTCCCCACTAAGGGTATGTCCGACAAAACAAGATTTATATATTCAACTTTTTAGAAATTTGAATAACAACATTGCTTTATATTTTACATATTTGGATTTTATAAGATCCTGATATGTATTTTTTATACACGTTTGACTGTCTACCTGTAATCTATGTGATCATCAAAGTCCATGAGTATACAATTTTTAAAAAAGGGATTGTATACAATGAGACCATTTACTTTTGGAATAAGGATGTCACAATTACTCACAACCATTTGATGTGAAATCTGATAGTTTGGGTGTGTCACAAAGTTTAACAAAAATTCTTTTGAACTTTGAGCTTCGTCAATGAAATAGATGCAACCACCCAATTTCACATCCAACGATCAAGTTTTATTGTGACTGTCTTGTATCAAAGATAAATGGTGTCATTATAGGGAAAGCTTTCTATGCTTCTCCTACATAATAGAACTATCCTCTCCCTCCTTTTTAACCGTTGATTTAAAATAAGTGGCTGAGATTTGTTGACTCAAAATTTCAGAAAATATAAGTCACGGGCTCAACTGGTAACCCTTCAAAATAACCGGTAAAAGAGGAAGAGTGGGGCTTCTTGGAGGAGAGAGAGAGCACACAAAAACCAACCAGTGCAAGAGAAAGAGAGAGCACACACCCGTAGAAGAGGGAGAGAGGGCTTCTTGGAGAGGAGAGAGAGCGCACGCACACACCATTAAGAAAGGGAGAGGATAGTTCTTCTATGCTATAAGGGAAGCATAAAAAGCTTTCCCAATAGCGAGAGCTTTTTTAGGGGATCCTAGAGAGAGAGAGTCCAAAGGCAGGCAGGAGGCAAGAAGATCATTGAACATGAGTGAGAAAGAGAGCGACCCTTCCTTCTGAGGCGGCAAGCAAATAATCTTTCAAATCCATAATTGTGTTTTTGGCCCCAAGGTAACAATCACCCGCCATCATAATTCAAGTCGTCTACTTTGTCGTTTAATAGCTAAAGATGACTATGAGTTCTTATTATATATGATCCTTAATACACTCAAACTAATAGAGCTTAAAGTAAAGTATTTTATCTCCAACGGTTTACAGGTTGGGTCCAATTGGACCCGAATTGTGTTCAGGCCAAAGTTTTGGACTCGTACCCTACCCATCGAGTCCAAATGCTGGACCCATACCCGGACCCGTGTGGGGTATATCCGGTGGGTCCCAAATTGGGTCTGGGTCCATTGCCCCCCCTAGTATTGAGGGACCTTTTTGTCACTTATTATAACAATCTTCCTTAGTCCATATCTTTTGAACGGTGATATGGGCTTTGCTGATTCTTTTACCATGGGAAAGCTTTTGAGATTTTGCTACAACTTGGGTTGGGTTTTTGTGATAAAACTAAGGGGTCTAGGTTCACTATGCTTACTAGGATTAAGATGCTCATTGGGACTCAGAACTTGAGGTTTCTAGAATTTCTAGTAGCCAAAATTTATTGGGGGGTGTCTATAGTTACCCCTCTTTGGCATCACTTTGCAGTACCGAGTGAATGGAAAAGAAATAGACACTTGAGACACAATGGAAGAAATAGATATGATACCTTCCTTTGGGAAGGTGATAAACTGATGGATTTTTTATATGTAAGATAGAGACCAGGGACTGCATTGTTTTACTGCGTTGTTTTTTAGGCAGTTTTTTTTTGGTGTGAGGTCTCTGACAATCGGTATCCATAGTGATAATAAATAGAAACAATGCTAACTTTGAGCTAGCTATTTTCTTGGTTGAGGCTACCACAATGTTACCTAGGATGCCAATGTAGACATCTTCGACTTTAAATCCTTTCTTTTTAGATAACTGATTTCCATTTGTATGAAAACTTCAATTAGAAGATAGTTGGTGGTACTTAAAATCTGGCTAACTGAACCTTTTTTCACCCTTGATGCTACGAACCACTGAACATGATGAAAATTCTTCAAATTGTCACAAAACCCATCTAAACAATATCCAAAATTATGTTTGGAGTTAAGTTTGCTTTACTAACTTTGGGTTATGAAGGTTCGAAGTCAAGTTTTGTCCAAATAACTTCATATTAAGCAATTTTTTACTTTAGTTTTTCAAATTTTTCAAGTGGCTTGGAATTGTAAACTAAATTCCAGAATTGAGGATATTTTAGAAAAAAATAAAAAGGGTGTGAATGTAAGACGTAAAAAATTGATAAGTTTTTCTCATTATAATAATATTTTAGGAGATGAGAGTGAATTTCTCTAAATTTATATTTTTTCATTCCTCCTTCCTCTCACCCATGATAGAACTGGTTGGGCAAGACCAAAAGGGAGTGTGCCCTGTCCAGATGGGAGTGAGGACTAACTTTTAGAAAAGGGGCTGCGGCCGTTGTTGTAGCACCCCGACACTCTAGTCATTATGTTGTGATTTTCATTACATAAACACCATCGCACTAATAGTTTCAAAATACCAATTCCTAAATTAATTGAAAAAAGCGTGTGATTTGAATAGGGTCGAGGCTCTAAATAATCAAAGTAAAGCGCACCTTCAAATAAAGTTGAAAGATATTTAAATACTAGAAATATATGTGATGGCCTAAAAATTTGTGTTCATCTCTAATTATAAAGTTTAAAATTTCAAAAGTAGTGTCGATTGAACAGATCTATGAACACTTGACAATTTTGAAAATCGACAGTCCGAAAATACAATACAAGATGCACTAATTCTAAAACTGGAAATCCATTTTTTCTCATGTCCATACATCTTAATGATGGGATGATCAAGTTGGGAATTTTTTAGCTTCAAAACAACCTCTTTTAGTGAATTTTTAAGGTGCGCCCTAAATTAATTATTTAGGCCCCCGCATTTATGTAAGGGTGCAGTTGGCATACAGATGCATCTGCAGCTGTAGAGGTAAGTTTTACCTTCAAATTTTATCATGGTATATAATTTTGATGTAAAATATTATTAGAATTATCTCAAAATCGA